CACTAGTGACACTGTCTAGTACAGAACAGCACCCTTACTAGTGACACTGTCTAGTACAGAACAGCACCCTCACTAGTGACACTGTCTAGTACAGAACAGCACCCTTACTAGTAACACTGTCTAGTACAGGACATCACCCTTACTAGTGACACTGTCTAGTACAGAACAGCACCCTTACTAGTGACACTGTCTAGTACAGAACAGCACCCTTACTACTGACACTGTCTAGTACAGAACAGCACCCTCACTAGTAACACTGTCTAGTACAGAACAGCACTCTCACTAGTGTCATTGCCAGATGCAGGATGTACGTGAATGTAAAATTCTTGGCTACACAGACAAAAATAACAAATAATAACTAATGTACACATCAGTGAAGTAGTGTGAAAAATATTAATTGGCAAGTTTTATGAAAATACACTTTAAAATTACCTCATATGACTGGAGTTTGAATTAAACCAATAGTTACAGTTTTTCTGCAGTGTTAAAAAATACTTTTTCAATGTGGCAACAATTAAACCTAAAGAACCGAATCTTGGGAGAGTGATACCATGGTTACCAACCTGAGCAACAATGGTGTTGAGAATAAGGAAACCCCAGAGGCACAGGAAGGTCTTGGTGCTGTAGATGCCCAACATAGGATACGATATAAAATGAAAGACAGTCGGTAATGTTAACGTCAGAGGTAACTCTCCGATCATTTTGGCCAGGTAGTAAGCCGATAGCCTGTAAGCTCCTGATGCTCGCTCTTTGTTTATAACTTCCCGTTCTGGTGGAACTGTGGCATGAAAAATTTATTAATGAATTGAAAAAACGGTAAGAATAAAGAAAATGGTTAATTAGTAATATTGGGAGGTTCAAAACATGGCCATTTAAGTTGATGACAAAAAGAAAAACTTGGATATCTTGGTAGGCATTTTAATTACTAATGAAATCTATCAATCACATTGATTTTGGAAACCCACTCTTCAGAATCAGTTATGTGCCAAATTGCTCATACATCTATGACTTTCATGATTCGTATATAATAACACAAAAATACTGTCAGTGTTGCACTTAATACCACTAATTACATAGAAGACGAGCGGTTTCACCCAACTGTTGTGATAAGTTGTTTATACTGAGTGTTTTAACACACAAAAATGAAAGTATTCAGTTTACTGGTGTGATATGTAGAGCAATCTGTGTTGTACAGAATAGAAGAAAGTAGGGAAGTTGAGGAATAAAGATAACTAGCTGGTAATATTACTGGAAACTGTGTATTTGGTAGGCATTTTTAAAGATCTTTACAAGGAATTAAATACCTGGATTTCTAAGAGGTGACAATTTAACACAATTCTTCAGGTTAGTTGACAAACCCGAGTTAGTTTATAATTAGTTCTAAAAATAACATATTTCAAGAAAACTATAACAGTTGCTGGTAAGTTTACTTCTCTTGATGAGTCACAAAAATATGTACAAGTAAAACGAACACTGTATACAGATTATAAAATAACGTTTCCATTCAGGAGTTTGTAATTTATAACAGTCTAAATAAGAACAAACACAAAAATGATTAGTTGGATACTTACACGAAATCAAAGCTCCAAATAGTGTAAACAACATCCAATATGTCATGCTAAAAAACATCTGAAAAAAGTATGTGAATTTAAATAATTATATGAAATATTACATGATGTGGAAGTGTTCTAAAAAAATCAATAAAAATTTAGGATTTCTCTGTATAATTTATTTACTTCTGGCTACTTTCTTCTCTGTTACTCACACTATTAACAGTCATCCAATTACTTACCAAACAGTACCCAAACATCTTGTTTCTCACACTATTAACAGTCATTCAACTATTTAACAAACAGCACCTTAACATCTTATTACTCACACTATTAACAGTCATTCAATTACTTAACAAACAGCACCTTAACATCTTGTTTCTCACACTATTAACAGTTGTGAGAAACAAGATGTTAAGGTGCTGTTTGCTAAGTAGCTGAATGTTGAATGACTGTTAATAGCTACTTAACATCTTGTTTCTCACACTATTAACAGTTATTCAACTACTTAACAAACAGCACCTTAACATCTTGTTTCTCACACTATTAACAGTCATTCAACTACTTAACAAACAGCACCTTAACATCTTGTTTCTCACACTATTAACAGTTATTCAACTACTTAACAAACAGAACTTAACATCTTGTTTCTCACACTATTAACAGTCATTCAACTACTTAACAAACAGACTTAACATCTTGTTTCTCACACTATTAACAGTCATTCAACTACTTAACGATGTTAAGGTGCTGTTTTTTGTTTCTCACA